AAAGCAAATGCAGTACCACCACCGCCACCATCAACTGGTGGTGGTGGATTCGTAGATTCAATTGCAAATATAGCCAAAGCTAAAGCTGATGAACTACAACGTCGAAAAGATGATTCAGATAATAATGATAATGATGATGATAACGACGAGGATTGGGAATGAGTCAATTGATTTTTTATAAAGTGATTTATTGATTATCTTTTTGTAATTTGTAAACAAAAGTAAAGTAATTTATTTTTTAATTTTAATATATATTCATCTATAGTATACTCTCTTTTTCTTATGTTTTGATTATTTCAGTCAGTAATACATAAGACGAGCATATATTTTCCTTCCGTTATGTTATTTTATTTATTATAGATATAGTAAGAAATCAATGACTGTATAATGATTTACTCGTAAAGTATGTATGTATATATACGCTCGCTTAAGCAGAATAATTGTAAATGATAGAAAAAGATGACAAATCATTCTTATGAGTTATGTATTGATATTTACTTAGTGTAAATTATAAAAAAAAAAGAATATATGTACTATTGTTTTATCAAGTTCATACTTTTCTATATAATTAAGTTAATTACGAGAAAAAATGTACAAGTAAATCGATGAGTAAACATATGTGTCTATATAAAGAATAGAGAATAAGAAAAAAAAGTTATGTAATTCAGAAAAATAATTCTCTTTACGTTCTCTATTGTTCTGTATGTTGTATCGTTAAATAAACATTCAAATTCATCCCATATATATATACATACACACATATTGTACAGGATACAAATCGTTCGACTGAACTAATGAGCACATTTGAAAGTGATTTTTATCTTCACAAGAACGGAAGTCGTACAATTCTTTCTTCAAAAAAAAAGCATATGAAGACATAGGCAGAAGAAAAAAAGAAAGAAAAACAAAAGCTATTGATGTTGTATTTCCCCTACACTACCTGTTCCATATGTATATGCCTTTTTTTTTCTCTCTCGCTTTCTCTTCTCTCTTTTTTCTCTTCTAGATATCGATGTTTAATCTTCTTTCTCTATTTGATCAAGAATCAATGGCATCTGTTCGTTCATAAATCATCATCGATCGACGGTAGAATTACGATGATCATGATAACAAGGTCGTAGTAACATATCTACTAGTAACTATCATTTCAAGCTTAGAAGTAGTACACACCCACATACACTGTATAACAATAATTAAGGTAAACAATCTTATTTTTTCAATTATTTAAATATATTTAGAGATTTATTCATTTAAAAGGTGAACAATAGAGAAATATGCCACGAAATTATAAGACATCAAATGAACAGCAAAATTTATCAACAAAAAAATCAAAAGATAAACCGACATACAAAATTATTGTATTAGGTAGTGGTGGAGTTGGTAAAGTAAGTTTCAGATATAAAAACTTTGCTAAACTCATGTATATATATAATCTAATCAATAATAAGAAATCTGAGTAATTTGTTCGCGTTACATTTAAACTTTCCTATTATATTATATTCATGATTCAATCATGTAATCTTAACTTTTGAGAACTGTAAATATCTATACGTATTATTTCATGATGATGTTATAAGTGCGATAACCAGATATATGTAGATCATGCTGTGCACGTATTCTCATCTGTCATTCATTATTTAACAGAAGGAAGAGTACATGCTCATTAGATATGATGATATCATGGTTAATCTTTGTTTAAAGAATAATATGAACGTCTGATGTATATATTTGATAAATCATTTTATTTATTTATTTTTTAGTCAGCAGTAACTATACAATTTGTTAAATCATTCTTTTTTTCTGATTATGATCCAACAATTGAAGATTCCTATGTTAAACAATGTTTAATTGATAATCAAATAGCACAATTAGAAATTCTTGATTCAGCTGGACAAGAAGAATTTAAACCAATGCGTGAACAATATATCCGTGTTGGTGAAGGTTTTCTACTTGTTTTTTCCTTAACTGATCGTCATTCACTTGAAGAATGTTATAAATTACATCGTGATATTTTACGTATTAAAGATTCAGATAATGTACCAATATTATTAGTTGGAAATAAATTAGATATACGTCAGATTGATGTTGATATACAAGCACGTAATGCCGCAACTGCTATGCATATACCTTATATTGAAACATCTGCTCGAACACGTTATAATATCGATGAAATCTTCGTTGAACTTGTACGTTTAATACGAAGAAATAAATGTCAATATCAAACAAATAATGATATATCATTATCAAAAAAACAACAACATAAATCCCATTATTGTTCTTGTAGTATTTTGTAATTTTTATTATAATTATTATTATGTATAAAATATTTTTTTTCTCGTGTCAGATTTGGGATTGTTGTTTTTTTTTCCTTTTTTTTTTGTATTGTTTTATGATATAGTTATAATTTTAATGAAAAAGATAAAATAGGATTTTTTAGATTGATAAAAAAAAAACTATGAATGAAGAAATTGAAATACTTAAAGCAATTTATTGTCGTTCGAATGAAATTGTCTATGATGATTCCTCTCAAATAATTACATATAATGCATATGATGATAATCTACAATGTATTGGATTTTTAACGAATATTTATATGAATAATATGATTATTGTTGAAAGTAATGTTTTAACTCGAGATGAACTGAAACAATTAAGAATGCATGCTTGTTTAACAACAACATTATATGATTTATTTACAACATTGAAATCTGCTTATGATGAATTAATAACGAAAAGAATGAAGACATTGGTATCAGTTGAAGAATATGCATCATCGTCGTTCTTAATGAAAATTGATCATATGCGTTCACCAAATATCTATATAAAACATTTGTATCAATGGACGAATGAATTGAATATAACTGGTCGAATTCTTGTTATACCACATCGTATTTATATACTTATTGAAGGAAAACATGAAAATCTGAAGGTTAATTGAAATAAAACATTTATTGATATAATAGAAATTTATTTTTATTTTTAGAAATTTATTGTTAAATTAAAAAGTGAAACAGTTGATATTGATAGTCGAGGTAGACCTTGTAAAGAACGTTTATTAAGTCAGATTGTTGAATTAAATAAACATCCATCAAAGTAAAACTATATATACTTTTTTCATGCAATATATTTTCAAGATTTATTTTAGTTTTATAAATTTTGAAAAAATTGAATTTAACAATCAAAATGAATTAATATCATATTTAATTAAATTTCAATATGAAAAATTATCAGATTATATTACTAAATCATAAGATATTGGTTTTATTACAATAATATAAAAAAAAGATTGACTTGGCTGAAAAAAATCAAGATTTTGCTACATGACAATCTTTTCTCAAAAGCAAATAAAGCCATGTATGTTAGTATTCAATCTCATCATGATTAGGTTAGGATTAATTTTAATGCAAATACTTCTAAACGATTTCCATAACCATGAAAAACTTATTATATTATGAAATTACTTTTTTGATTGAGATTACACGATCAATTCTTGATAGTCTCAGTTTTGATTTAAGATTTTCAGATAAGTACTTCCTAAATAACTTGAGAAGAATTACTATTATATAGTATAAGTAGATACCTCTCTCTTATTACTACAATGCTTTTATTGAGATATATATATATATATATCATTTATATCAATTAAATATAACTGTATAAGACAAATGCTGATAATCTGATTTGCTGTAACTAAAAAAACTTATATTTATCGTTTTTATTAAATTATTTGTTTATCTTTAGAGAGAATGGAATTAATTTTTTTGCAATCATACCAAACAAGATGACATGCTATTTTCGAAATAGATTTTTGAACATATACATTGTCGATTGAAATGGTTGGATAATTGGAAATGCAAGAATGTCATTTAGATTGATATATAACTATTGATCATATGTTCTTTTTTCTAATTATTTAAATAAATAAACAATTATTAAAATATTATTGTTTTATTTTTTTTCGTAATATTTCATTATTATTTTTTTTCTTCTTCGACTTCGTCTTCTACTACTAGTTACCGATGTCAATCAACATCATTTTAGATAAGAATTAATTCTTATAAATAGATGCGTTCGTCTTGTCGATGGCGTGTCAAATTCTTTTGGCAGGATGTCACTTCACGATTTGGCATATTTAAGTAGATTGTCAGTATAGATCGAGAAAAAATAAGAAAAAGAGTATTCACCTGATTTAT